CCCCCCCATTTGACAAAGTAAAATAAGACTTGTTTGGGAAGAAACCCATGTGCATGTATCAAAATGTACCATGTCAAAAAGTGGGTTGGTATTGGAAATATTTTTCATTGGCAAATAACTGCATTTGTTATGTCAATCTGTTTCTACGTATCTTCTAAATAAATTCACTTCAAGGGAGGGAGTAAAGCTAAGTTTTCAACAAAATGCAGTGCTCAAATACTAAGCTAGATGCCCAGATTTTGAAAAAAGACTAGATGTATAATATGGTTGTGAATTCTTCTACTGTGCTTTAGAAAAACATACTCTGATTTCAGTGCATACATGGAAACAACTGCTTTGAAGATAAACCCGGAAATGAGACTTTCTAGGTTTTATTTGCATAAAGTATGGAACTGTTGCCATCAACATTTGTTGATGACTTCATGTTTTCAGTTTAGGTAAACATCAGAAATATAAATACAGGCTTAATCCTGACAGCAGCTGTCAATAGCAAGGAAATGTTGCCTGTTTGGGGAGACAGTGAGTTGCAAAATGATTTACTTCTCTTTCTTCTAAAAGTGGAATAGTAATTTTAAAAAGTACTTTGTCTGTTCTTGAACTGCATGATTTGTAAGTTCTTTTTTAAGAAAGAAGATTACAAAGTGACCCCCACCAAAATACTTAATAAGGCACATTTTGAACTCAGACACACTACTGCTGTGGAAAGAAGTAAAATAGTCCCTCTAGTGTACTGCTGCTGCAAGTATGCATAGGAATGTCTGAGGTGATTTACTGAAGAGTATGGCTGCAGGAAATTACAAAATAACGTTTCGGCAAGGGATGTGAAAGTGCTTACATGAACTGGAGAGTCTGCCCTACAGCAGTAAGTCAAGTGAAACAATAATAAGTACCGAGCCAAAAAAAATGTGCTGTTAGAGTAATTCATGAAGTAAAAAGTATAACGTGTAGTGCGAGACAGTTGCTCTTGCCAGCTGTGCCCAAAACGTGAATGAGGCGCAGAGCCAACCGCCAGGGCGCGGACTGAGGTGTGCTTCCTCGTGCAGGGCAGTAGATTTGAATTTCATGTCGTATTTTGCATAAACTGCCTATATAAGGAAAAACAAACTTGGATGTTCACATCTTCTTGAAGCAAGTGTGGCTTTGATGTGACTTCTAAAAGACTTGCTTAACCTCTGTCTGGTGACATTAGTCAGTGCGAAAGGAGCTGTGTGGAGGCAGGTGCGGGTGGGGCTTCCTTTTATGCCTGAAAGTCCCTGGCTAACATCTCCCTGCTTCGGGTTTGCCTCAGGAGAGTCATAGAGTTACTGAGTTTTCCAGTGTGAAGGGATGTAGTCATTGCAGGATGTTTTGGAGTAATAAGAGTTTCTTTTTTTTTCATGTGTTGTAGCTAGCCAGAATATAAATATGAATCTTTACTCGCTATCTAATTTTCACTGCCTGTTCCTGGTACTAGTGTGTATGCAAAGGCCCTGCAGCCGTTTGTATGTTTGTTTGTTGCAGACCAGAGCCAACCACGGAAGCCTGTTGTTCTGGATTTTGTACAAGCAAGGAATGCTACTTTTGCACTTAGACTAAGATCCAGTTTAGCCTCAAAAGGTACAGGAGCATCTGCCTGGGTCCTTGCTGTGGAAGAAAACTGCACAATCATTTAGGGTTAAATAGGTAACATGGATTAAAGCTCCACTGAACAGAAGACAGCAAGGCAAAAAAAGCACATGAAAAGCATTAAATTGAATGTTATGGACTTTGTGTATGGTACACTGCAATTTTGGAGTTCAGAATTGCAATATATGTATGTAGCTTCCCTGGTGTCAACTGTATGGGGCTTCAAACTAGCACTGTTCTGAAAAACTCCGGAGTCTGTCTTCGTCAGTTTGTTGAAAATAAGACATTTTGCTAGGTTTAGTTTGATTGTTTTGATGAATGTGTATTGAAACTCTTTTTCTGACGACTCATACCATACATAACAGATCTTCCACATGGACCTAGAAATTCAGGAACTCTTAAGTTCCTGCAGTGGCTCGGAAGCATGACATGTCATGTGGAGGGAGAATCTATCTTTGCCTCACTTCATGTTGGAGCAAATATCTTTACACGTGTGTGATATTGAAATAGCGTGTTGGCCAGAAGTGGTAGTTTCATGTATGATGACTTGTGTAAATATTCCTGACATTTTCTCAGAATTCTTTAAGGAAACCACAACAGCAAGAAAAAGACCCCTCAGCAAAAAACGTTCTGTTTCTTGACAGAGCACTGTTTCAAGCTGCGCTTTAATAGGAGTGGTCAATGCGCAAGCATTACTTCTTATTTTGTGGAAGTTGTCTGTTTTCAGTTATGTATTTGAATTGTAAACACATGCTGGGGTGGTTAATGGTCTTAAGTTCAGAATTATTTTGGTTTGAGTTAGAAGCATAGCAATCTGCCCATTACACCTTCCCTTTTGTGATGCCGGTGTGGCCATGCTTCGTCATGTACTTCTGGAGAACACAATGTGTCTGTGATACCGACAGCTGTTGTCATGATTACCATTTTCTTCTTAGCAGATTATCCAGTGTTCAGTTTTTGATAGGAATCTGCCTGTTTGCTCTTCCTGCAGTGCCAGACCTTCTCCATTCTAACAGCAGTGAAATTTTAGTGGCCTTCTGTTGTCTCCAGTCCTACAGTTCCTTCCTCTCTCCTTTTCTGTGTGTGCATGTTCTCATAAACAGTTTTCTGCCTTCCTCAGTGTGTGGGGTTCCCCTCCGCTTCACCCCTTAAATAAGTGTTTCATATCAGTTCTGGAAAAAGTTCTTCTATTCCTCTTAACTTACAGGTCTTGCTTTTGTTTGTGTTCATATTGATAGCTCTAAAATGTAATTTGGCAGTACATTCTGGGAATCTTCCTAAAATTCGCGATTTTTTTGTACAGATCTTTTTCGTGTTATTTCGAAGCGACTATAATTAGCTGTGAAGAGTAAGCCATACTTCTACTGGGTTTGATTATGTCAGATAAGTGAGAATCACTCTAAGGAAAAGAGGTTGCGTGGGTGGAATAGTTTGCAAAAGACTTTCTGTGTGCTGGGAAATTACACGTTGAAACAAGAAAGAGATATTTAGTTCACCAGACTTTCCCTCCTCTGTTTCGATAATCATTAAACCTCTCTTTCTGTGATTTTGCCAATCAATGTTCACCCATCTGTAGGGAGATCATTTTTCCAGCTGTTGAATTTTCGGTTGACTTCCCATAGTGTCTTGTCTCATGCGGCTTAGCAGTCCTTGCAGTCCTGCACTGGGATTCTCACAGGTGTGCAGAGGCAGGTCTTGTCTGGTACAGAAACCAGAATTCCCTTGCAACAGCAAGACTTTTTAAAGGAGTATTTTTTTTTTTTCTTTTTGAGCTTTTGAATAATGTGAAATAGTTTTTAATTAACTTCATGGTTACTCGATCAACTTTTATTCACAATTTCTAAAACTTTCTCTAGGTTATATTACAGTTCTTCCATTTATAGGGGAATTAATGTTCCCGTACCTTTGATTATATTCACAGCGTATTTATTTGTTTTTATTATTCTTTGAGTTTTCTGTAAGGCAAAACCAGATTTTCTGTGACATTAATTTTCACAGCAGCTTAAGTGAACCCAGAATGTTCCTTTCACAGGAGTAGTATAATTTAGTTCATTCCGAACTTTGCTCATCTGCATATGAGACCTGATTCACTTTGGAGGCTTTGTAACTTCAGTTTAAGCACTGTAGCTGGTTATTATTCTCTGTGGTTTCTACTTTGTCATTCTCCTGTTCAAACATGTCATTGTCCTTCTGTTGAGAGATGTACTTTTAACTCTTGTGTTTTATGGTCAGGTTAGTCTTGTAATTAGGACTTCAAAACCAAACAATTTTAACTTGTAGAGATTATTCCCAAACACCCATGGAACATAGAATTGCTATACTGAATTTTGATACAACCTATAAAAACCTTATTTGGAGATTTTGCTTCAGCTTAATATGGATTTTAAGTTGTAAAGACCCAACCCGAAACTTCTGGGAAGTTCAGGGGAGTCTTGTCGTTGGAAGTATGCAAATTCAGACAGGGTGCTGTTTTGGCACTTTTTCTCTCTAGCAAATAAGACTTGCCAATCTGATGGCGTTTAAAATAAGAGAAAATATTTGTGACAGCAAGGACATACTAGGCAGAGTACAAGTTGGTCTTGTATTATTACAGCTGACGGCAAAATAACTCCATGTATGTGACTGTATGAACATGCATTTTACCCTCCCTAGTGTTCTCCCTCTCTTATTGTATAGCCTCCAGCACTTACCAGAGGTATTTACTTAGAATGAGATCTTCCAGGCTGCTGCTATCTTCTAAAAATAAGCAAAGCTTATGGGCTCGAACGTGCAGCTTCTCTAACTGTTTGGCTAATAAGAGATTACCTTTCCTTTGCAAGCTGTCCTGAAAAGGTGGCTTTCTGCTGGTTTGGCATTTGGCTCCCTCTTATGGACAGTGTTTGGAAAAGCTCAAATTAATACTTCGGGTTTTCTTTATGGAGCTACAATAATAACAATAAAAAAAAAATCTTCAGAGCAGTCTCCAAGATGAAATTTCATTACAATTGCATCGAGGTGCAATTGCAAATTGAATGTCTACTTTGTGACATATATGACCTGGTTTTAAATCCAGTTAAACTGGCTTTTATTTGTGCTAAAACTTGTAAATGAGAGATTTCCCTTTTCTGTCTTTGTGCTTCCATCACATCCCCAGTACAAAAGCAGTGAAGACCAGCTCATGCGAAACCTCTGGAAGTTCAGTGCACTCGGTGTTTGGCACAGCCAGATTCTGTGTCTGTTTATACTGTTCAATGTGAAATGGTGTTGCTGATAATTGAACAATAGGGAACAAAATGTTTTATTGCTTCTGTTCTACAGCTAATCATGGTTTCTAATTCCTTCTTCTCCAGGTGATAGAAACACTTTCAAAACTTTCTCGCACTCCTATTGCATTGGGCACAGGAATAAGGTATGTTATTGCTCTGATGAATGGTGGGAATAATGCCTCTTGCATGATGCTCCCTGGGAAAGTTGTTGGAAGCAGTATAGGCAGTGTCCTCCAGTAAGAACTTCTCTGATTGTAAATCAGATTGCCCAGCTAACCAAGGCTCTGGACCTCTGAGGAGCTCTGAAGGCTATCTTCCTCCTCTGGTACGCTTACTGAAGTGCCTGAACTACCTTTACTTCTTGTGTTGAAACATGAGCTGAACAAATGAGCAGTTAGTATTACAGGACTTGTGTGATAATTGTGACACATAGGTTGTAATTCAGGCTGATGCAGTGCTGATCTATGTAAAGACAAATGGGTTTTCTCTCCTGTTTCCCTTCTGAAAATCACTAAAACTGCCAAGTGTGTGAGATTCTTATTTTTTAAAAGAAACCAAAAAACCTGAACCAAACCTAATGTCATAACATGGAGTTGTTCATCCTGGAGAAGAGAAGGCTCTGGGCAGACCTTATAATGGCCTTCCAGTACTTGAAGGGGGCCTATGGGAAAGAGGGGGGCAATCATTTTAGCAGGGCCTGTTGTGATAGGACAAGGAGTAATGGTTTTAAACTAAAAGAGGGTAGATTTAGACTGGATATAAGGAAGAAAGTCTTTTACGATGAGGGTGGTGAAACACTGGCACAGGCTGCCCAGAGAGGTGGTAGATGCCCCATCCCTGAAAACTTTCAAGGTCAGGTTGGACGGGGCTCTGAGCAACCTGATCCAGCTAAAGATGTCCCTGCTCACTGCAGGGGGGTTGGATTAGATGGACTTGAAATGTTCCTTCCAACTCGAACTATTCTGTGATTCTATTCTATAAACTACAGTTGTGGGCTGTGAGAGAAGGTGAAAGACCTCATGCTTTGATGTTCTCCATCTTTGACTGGTTTGATTCAGCAGTCTTAGCATATATGGATGGATGATGTTTTTAAAACGTAGACAAAATTCTCTAGCCAGTCCTGTAATCCATGTCGTGTGCTAAAAAGAGTAGTTAATATTCTCAGTTGAAAAACTGACAATGGTGTGCGTTAGTGGTGATTTGTAACAACCCTATTCAGTAGGGTTTTTTAGTATATTAAGTACTGATTCATGTATAGAAGTCTAAATACACATGTACTGTTCATCAGAGAAAAAGGGCAACATACAAATACATTAACATACAGTAATCTGTGTGAAAACTTTAGAAACCAAACAAAAACCCACCGTGTGACTAGACTAGTGCTGTGTCTAATTCATGCTATTTTTCTTTCTATAGGCCCTTCCCTACAGAAGAAAGTGTTGATGATGAAGATGTCTACAAAGGTCTTCCTGATTTGATAGAGTATGTTGTAAATCTGTAATTAAATTAAAGATTTTGGCTTTCACTTCCATGCTATTATTTATATGATGTTATAGAACACATAGTTTTAGTGAGAATGGGATATTTATTTGATTTAAAAAGATTTTGTTAGCCATTATGCTGACCAGGAAGAATTAATTATGAAAGCTCATCTGAATAATTGTAATACATTAATTATGTAAGGAAGCATGTTTCATAGAGGGTGCTGGTAGCAAAGCAGATCATGAATGTGTTTTTAAATTATCTGTCTGTACTGTGAGAACGCTTGCATAGAATTACAATATCAGTTGTAAGGGACCCAAGGAAATTGTCTTGAACTTGCAAAGATGATGCATGTTTGGATCATAATTCAAGTGGATTGTTTCCCTAAAGTCAGTGAAATTTTTGTACGTGTGCATTTACCTCTCTGGGTAAGTGTTTGCAGGTTTATTAATTATTGCAAATTTTCACATTGGCTTTGAGGTACAAGTAAGACAGGCATGAACGTGCTGTGTACTATTGAATGGTAGGCTGCAGCTTTATTTTGCAGGCTGGTGAGATACATACATCTGGGCATAACAAATTATCAGGAAGAATGAGTCTGGTATCCTGTGGCTAGGATCTGTCAAGATCCATTAGGAATCATGTTGGACAAGAACTGGGATCAGAGCTCACTGTCCCAAAGCTCTGAGTTCGCTGGTGCTCATCTGGCTTTATCTTGGCTCTGACCACGCTGTATGTCGCTGTCTGCGATGTGGTCAAGTGGCTGCTGTTCACGCTGTGGATTTGTTTCTTTACTGACTGTAAAGAAGGGAAACCCCACCATGGCTGGCATCGCTAAATTTACCACCTTCCTTTCAAAGCTCATCCTTGTCTCCTGCAGCTGACTGGCTGGCTCGTAGATAGCTGCTTTTCACTCTGTGTAGCTGAATATGCAAAAGGTAGGAGTTGCAAACTTGTCAGAGACCCAAGTGGGCTAGAGGTGATGTCCTCATCTCTTAGATGTGGTGGCATTAACACTGTTTGAAAACGATATTTCTGTTGGTTCTTAAATAGGTATGCAAAGTACTGAGAGACAGTCTTTCATTAGGAAAAAAAGTTAACCATAGCAAAGAAATGGAGATTCATAGCTGCTCTTTTGCATCAAATTACAAGTATTATTCACTGAAATTTGATAGTTACATGCTGTCTCAATTGTGGAGGAAGCAATTCAAGAAGTACTCTCTTCATAAGTAACAAATGTGCCAGTGAATGATGCAGATGGCCCACGTTTTTTTGTGTCTCTTAATTAGTAACGGTATTTGACTAAAATTAATTTAATTGTCCCTGAGTTTAAATGGTGCCTAAACAATTTAGAATGAATTTAAGGCTTTCTGTCAGAAAGAGCTGTAGTAGTTAAATGTTTCTATCCTTACTCTGCCTTTTTGCCAGCTTTTGTTCCCTGGAGCATAGATGGTAAAATGGAGTGTATCTGTGCTGCACCTGACACGGCTGCTAGTGTTTAATATGAAATGCTAGCACACCGTCATCACTGGTGCAAGCTGAAATGTTAGACTAACCTGGAGCATCTGAGCTCTCCTGAGGCATGGTATCTGTTGGAAAAGGAAGGGATGTTAGCAATTTCTGTCTTCTGTTGAATCCTCCAAATATATATTTTTTTAAATCATTCTGTCTATTGAAACTTCTAGCACTTGCTTACTTTATCCTTCCGATGTCTGCAATTTGAAAAAAAACCAAAAAACAAAAAACAACAAAAAAACCCACAAAAAACCAAACCCAAACCAGACAAACAAAAAAACCCCATACGTAATGAGAAATAAAAAAATCACTTAGTTTCTGTATATAGTCCTGACCTATAGATGTAGTGATTTTGTCTGGCATTTCCAGGTAGTCCATGTGGCAGTTGTGTTGGTAGCAATTCTCATTCGTTTTGATTTCTTTGAAATTGTTAGTCTCTGCCAGTCCTGTTCTTGAGTACTGCGGACCCACTCACAGAAATGGTTGTCCTTCCTAGTTCTGGTGGACCAATCCTCAATTTGCTTTTTACTCTGAAGGATTTCAGTGTTGTCTTCCGAGAGTAAACAAAATTTTCAATGCATCTGATCAAGTTTCTGTATTATTATGACTGGACTGCTTTCAATATCTTTTAGAGTTCTGTTATAGACTGATTGTAAGAAATGTGAGTGAAAGAGATACTACAGCCTCGATGCTGTCTTAGTGCAAACTAGGCAAAACTCCAGCAGGTCTGACTCTAATGAAGCTGAATTAGCTGAGGGTAGAGTTGATAGTTGACTTTATGCTGAGGTATTTCTGTAGTCTGGGTAGTAGGAGGACACCTCTTGTGCATAGTCTCTGTTTTACCCTAGATAATCCTTTCTTTAGGCAGGAAGGAGACCTGTATCAGTGTCTCGTGGCCCAGTGCCGTGGGATGGAGGGCAGTAAGGAGAGACAACTCCTCTTCTCTGTATGTGGTGGGAAAAAGGACAAAGAGAAGAGAGCCGTGGGACAGTACCTCGTAACAAAACTGTCCTGACAAGATGCTGTTGGTGCCTGGTTTAGCTCCCATGTGGTTCTAGGTTCATGCAGTCTTCAGTGCTGTCTTGATTTCATACAATTGTATTTTAAATGTATTGAGGAAAGAAAGTTCATGGACTTAATTTGCTTTAATGAGTTCCTTTCATTAGATAGTTCTATTAATTAATCTGCTTGTTTACTGTAGAAATCTTTTCCTGTGAGGAACGGTCCCTTGCAGAGCTGATGGTAATTTACCTGTGCTGCACAGCTTTTTTCTTTTAATTGTCTTTTCCTTTCAGTGAAACTGGTGTTGATGAAGATGAGGAGTTGTATGATTGTGTCTATGGAGAAGATGAAGGTGGGGAGGTTTATGAAGACCTAATGAAAGATGAAGCAGCACAGCAACCTGTACGTTTTCAATTTCCTAGCTATTTTCGAACAATAACAGTTATATTTTTGAAAGTTAGTATTTGTGAAATTATTCTGCTTATTCAACCATGTAGTTTTTGTTGACCATTAAGTTGGTCTTACTGAGAATGGCAGAAGTAGCTTATTTACTTTATCATATAAAGGTACCGTGGTCAATTTTCAAAATTGTCTTGAAAAAAATCTTGAAAAAAGTTAGGCAATAAAATTTGCTTGCTAATTGGGAGAAACTCTAATGTACTTGTCTCCCCTTCCTCAGAGATGTGCTTTCTGATCTGGAAAGTGTTAGTGTGTGGCCATGAACAGGGTGTGTTTTTTAGGGCAGTTGTTTTCTTCCTCTATATTGACATGAAGGTATGTTATGCTTCCTGTTGTCTTAAGTTGGAAACTTGCCTCTCCTTTTCCATATTGCTTTTACTAACATTTACATGAAGAAGTGAGAAATTATAAAGATCTTAATTTTTGGATCTTAATTTTTGTTGTGTGATAGGTTTTTGTGATTTTTTTTTTTTTTTTTTTTTTTTTTTAAAACCTTGTGTGTCTTTTCAATGCAAGTGCAGGAGGTAGCTAATGTGATTTGTGTTCTCTGCTTTTATGGTGATTCCCCAAAGTTTCCACTATGTTGTCTGTGAGATTACTGCCTTGTTTTAATTTCTGTTGTTTTGAGTATAACAATACTGTTTCCAAGCCTGTTTTTCTATTAATATGAAATCCTGCAGGTAATACATGTAAATCAAGGGTAAGATAAGCAGAAAGTTATGTTAGTTTTTCACATTTTGCTTAACTTTATCTTCTAAAGTTTAGGTTATTCAATGAAAGCTAAATAAAAAATTGAATTGAAAAAACACTGGTTTCTATCTAATGAAGTCACATTCACTTGCAGGCAGGATATTTTAGAAAAGTGAGTCGTAGGAAATCTTTACTATGATCTTGTTTTGGGTTTTTATTTTATACTGAAACTCAAAATACGTTAAGTTTTGGGTTTCACATAATGAGCGTGGGTGGCTTTCTTTTTTCTTCAACTGTAACAGTTGGTAATCTCTGGCAGTTGGTATTGTGTAAACTTTCTCTGATTCTTTCTTTCCTGTTGCAAATGTCACTCGCATATCCGTGTTTCTAGCAAATGATTAATATAGCAATCAGAACTCTCACGTTCTAATTTTAGTTGCAGCTCAGCCTAGATAACTTCAGATTGAACAGACCTGTATTTGTTTCTTATAGAAAATAAATGAACATTGAAAACATGGTACAACAAAATAGTTTTCCACAACATGTAATGAATGGAGACATTACAATCATTTTGCTGTGACAGCTTTCTTGAATGTAGTAATTATTTCTGGTTTGTGATAATTTCCTCTTACAAGTACACTGCATGCTGATATGATGATTTTGCGCAGTTTTTTCATTTGAATCCTACGTGAGAATTCCTTACATATGAAAACACTAGCACAGGACAATCTTCGAGTAGACTTTTAGAACTCAGTACTTTTCAGAGACTCCAGTAACAACCAAAATGCTTTACATCTCCCTCATCCTTGATCTGTTGTCATTATCTTGCAAAGTAAACTGCTAAATTTTCTCTAGCATTAGTTGACCTTCAAAGGCCATTTTTCTTACTGGTACTGGTATTTGCACATTATTTCTTATATCCTCTCTCCTTTTGTTTGTTGCACTAAAATTCTAGAAATTTTGGATACAGATAGAAAATTGGTACGTTAATTTCTGTCAAAAGTGCCTATATGAATGATCTGCTTGGGTTAGGTGAGCACAAAACTGAAGTGAATGGTTTTAAGTGGAATCCCAGGATTTTGTTTGCATTGCTCATGTGAGAACTGGTGAACAACAAACCCCCACGTTTTGCAAATGGCTATAAACTCCTGTTGGGTACGACAGCTTCTGTGTGTGTGTGCAAATACTGCAAGCAATTTGAACAGTCCTGAGCTCACAAAAGTTAAAGGTGAAAAATAACTAAATGCCTGAATAATATCAAATTCTAATACTTTATTGAGATTTGTTAACTGTGACAGTGCCCCACTTCCCCTTGCCAAAGAATTTGGGAATAAGTGCTAAATTTTGAGATGAGGCTGATCATCAGATGATGCTCACAAAATACATTTCTGCTGATAATAACAGACTGTATTTTTGCAAAATGATTACTTCTGTCTGCAGCTGATAAGGATGGCACTTTAATGTTTGTTGTGGGAAGATTAATAGCTGCACCAATTGGGTTTTAAAGAGTAATTTCTGAGATAATGCAGCAGCTGGTAGATGAGAGTGAGAAGACATGTTCTAGTTGCAGGAGCTGCTTGTAGAGTCATAGGGAGACAGAGAGAAGGGTAAAGGAGATAGGTCAAAACAGCAAACAGGAGGGCAAACAGTGATGAAGCTTTATGTGCCCGTGTGATTTGCAGCTTGGCATCTAGTTTAGGTGGTAGGAATAAATTTCCCACCCTTCACAGGTGGCCAAGCAATATCATAGGAGCTGTATGTGGCTATGGACAGTTTAAGTGCAGCTTGCTCTTTGCTGTGGTATGCTTAGCAGTGTGTCAAGTAGACTGATAGCAGAGAGAGGGACTGGAAGGAGTCTGGCTCTTGGACATGGTAAGAGCTAATTGTTAAAATTTCAGTCTGGAAGTTTTGCTGTCCCGGAGGAGAAAAGACTTTTGTTCAAAAGCTAAACGTCTTTCTCAATGGAAATTTCTAGTCCTGACTCCCCCTGTATTTTAATAACATCTAGTCATCAGTTCTGTTACGTGCAGTATGTGGATGCCCTACATTGGGTAAAAAAAAGTAAGATACAGTCAGGGATATGCTGAAGGTGCCTTGGAAAGATGTTGGAAGGTGCCTTGGAAAGATAAATAGGCTTCAGAAAAGATGTGATAGTACTGTGGCTTATTAAGCCACTGCTTATTGTTGTTTTTGGAGAAAACATTTCAGATCAATTATTGCTTTTAACTGTAAGAGCGCAGTTAACGTGTCAGGTCTTCAAACTCACCTGTATGTCTCCAGATGCTTTAAGTCGTTTGAAACGAATGCTTCCATACCTTCTTCCAGGTTTTTTTTAATGTGAAATCAGATTTGCAAGTTATTGAAGCTGTAATGCTGAAAATCTCACCTTCAGTAAGAGTGTTTGTAAACTATTTTTATAGAGTCCTGTGCTGATTATTACTTCAATTTCCTATGAGTCTAGTGATTTACATGGAAAAATCCCAGGGTCTCATTGAAGACACATGCATACGTATGCAAGAACTGAACTTAGAGGTCACTGCACTTCCTGATTTGAGGACATACTCATTTTGTGTCTGAAGAGAGAGCTCCCCTTGAGAACTGAAAGGGGAAGAACTGTAAATAAGTGCAGGGATTAGACTGAATCCAATATTTATGGCAATGCAAAGTTACTTACACGATTTAGCCCCATTAAGTTTAATAGAATTATTAACTGCTGAGTATTTTAAATAAGGTTTCTCAGTCTAGATGTAAATTAATTGTGACCTTGTATTTCAGCTTCTGAAGTACATGCAGAGAGTTCAGCTTTTTATGACTAAACATTAACTTTTCATAATATTCCTTTGATGCTGAATTTTAGTAAAACTCTCAGTCATCAGCTAATGGAACATTAAAATGTTCTTGGTTATCGCTATCCTCTTTGGGGGCTGCAGCGCTCAGAAAATTTCAGGAAGCAGTTATCCTAATTGCTTAATTCTAAACAAATAAATACATTTGTTATCTATTAGGTGCCTGTTAATGACTTTAAACTTGACTCCCTTGTAATTGCAGAAATATACTGAAAATGACATAAGAAGCTGTTGTCTTGCTGAAATAAAGCAAACTGAAGAGAAATACACTGAAACTCTGGAATCGATAGAGAAAGTAAGATACTTACAGAATTGTAACTTAGGTGTTTTTATAACCGTCTAGAAAATACAATGACATAGTCCGTGTGTATATATACATATTTTTTTCTTGCAGTTTTTCATGGTGCCATTGAAAAGGTTTCTGTCAGCATCAGAGTTTGATACTGTTTTCATCAACATTCCTGTAAGTAATTGCGTATTTAATGAACAGATACAAGCTTCATAGCTGGTTATGATATATTTGTGTTGTATGTTACTGCACAAGATGATTATTTGAAATACGGTGCACAATGCATTTAAGTAGATATTAGGGTAGTGGATAAAAAAGGATGTGCACACTATTTCATTCATTTTGTGCTTGAGGGAATAGAATAGGATAAGAGAAGCAGTATTGTTGTGTCAGATAGTGAATGGTTATGAACTGGAGTATCTTTGCCTTGGAAGCTAACAATTTGTAGAAGATGGATTGTCTTCTAATATATGCTGGTATTTTAATGGTGATGCAAAGTTGTGACTGTTAGGTTGCCTACCACTATATGCTGAGTGGTGGTTTCATGAGGATTTCTAGAGCTACTCTGCAAATCCTTGTATCTACACTGGCTCTGTCATCATTGAAGGTATTTTAAAGTTACAATAACTCAGAATTTTGGATTCAGAATCTGGTGCTGGAAAGGATAAGGAAATCCTCTGTGAAGTATCTAGAAGACCTCTTTATTTGACTGAAATCGTAAAGGTTTCTGTGATTATTACTTTGTTCCATTTATTTTTGGCCTAATCATAGTAGTATTGTAAGTTATATGTATTCTTAGTTGATGTACGTATTCAGCAGTTTCTTTATCTGACTTTAAAGGAAGACATCAGACATGGTCTGAAGCTTCTCTCGACACAGACAAATGAAAGGAATACTCTTTATGAGGCACACTGTAAAGAAAGGGTCCCCAGAGTGTGGCCCATGGGCCACATCAGACCTTCATTGCCTATAAAAGATGACATCTGTTTTGGCCAACTCTGGCATGTCCCACAGGCTCTCAGGGCTGTAGGAGGTGGTGGTGGGGATTTTTTTTATTCTGCGGGAACCTAGTCTGTAAAGTAAAACATTGCTGTCCCAGCACCATCCTGACAGAAGCTAAATTATGACAGTTATTACACTGATGATGATGATACATGACACCTTGCCGTATTTGTCCTGCTATTAAAGTTTTCACCCTGAATCTCAATTGCTGTAATTTCCTTCTCTTTAAATATTAGTCCAAAATACCGCCACAGATTTCAATAACCTACTTGTCGTCTTGAGCTATGTCAGCTGCCCGTAGACATTACTTTGCTTTTGTTAACAGATTTATATCCTGTCCTACATTAATGTTTCTTATTCATTACAAATAAGGCCCTGATGTGCTCTGCTGAAGTTACTGTAGATCTCTTTCTGAAGGCTCCGTGTGCCCAGGCACGTTGACTTATGTGCATTGAAAGGCCTAAAGCAAGCCAACATGAAACACTGCACAGAGGTATAAAAAGGGCTTACGTGCTGTAAGCACAAACTGAGAGGTCAGCCTACTTGCTACTCGTTAAAGAAATGGAAGAGGATCAGATAAGAGTAGTAAAAAGAACAAAATCTGTTTATTTGAAACTAGGAAGACACATAGTAAACTGTTATATTTAGGTTGTTTTGCTTTTCATTATCGGCATTCAGTATTCTGCTGTTACAAGATGATGCTTATTTCTGACTCCAGAAATGTTTCATTTGCATCCAAAAACCTCAAAAGAAATATAGGGTTTGCCTAAGCCAAAAATGTGTGCAAATGCTTTGTCTGCTCAGACCTTGTCTTCGTGGCAGTTCCTCAGCAAGGCTGGAGGGCAGTGGAAGCTTGTTTTAAACTAAAAATAGCCGTTGCACAGAGCTCTACAGCAAACTGCAACGTGGAAAGCAAGTGCGGTGTTCTTCAATGGATTTGCCTCTGTTAAAGGTTGTGGTAAAAGATCAGTGCTTTAGGGTGATGCTATGCTCCTTATATAAACTCTGAAAGATGCTTGCTGGACAAAATCATCTGCTGATATCAAAATAGATTTTATTTTTAAGAAACAGACAACCAACCAACCACTCCAAACTACTCACCATCTAAAGAGAGTGCCTTTCAATAGGGCTCAGATTTCAAAGTTCTGTCCTATAGATGTATGTATGGCTCTATATTTGTGTGTGTATCTGTTATGTATATGTCTATGTATATATATGTGCATATATATGCATTTGTATGTACATCTGTACATAGATGCATTTGTATGTTTGTGTGGCAAGGTTTTGGTAGCTGGGGGGGCTACATGGGTGGCTTCTGTGAGAAGCTGCTAGAAGTTTCCCCTATGTCCCATAGA